TTTTAGTAGAGATGGGGTCTCGCTCTTGCTCAGGCTGGTTTCAAACTCCTGAGCTCAAACAATCCGCCCGCCTTGGCCTCCCAGAAAGCTAGGATTACAGGCGTGAGCCACCGCGCCCGGCCTTTTGCCCACTTTTTAATGGGGTTGTTTGATTTTTCTTGCTGATATGCTTGAGTTCTTTGTAGATTCTGGTTATTAGCCCTTTATTGGATGTATAGCATGTGAATATTTTCTCCCATTCTGTAGATTGTCTGTTTGCTCTGTTGATTATTTCCTTGGCTATACAGAAGCTTTTTAATTTAATCAAGTCCCATTTATTTATTTATTTTTGTTGTTTCTGTGATTGCCCTTGGGGTCTTCTTCATAAATTCTTTGCCTAGGCTGATATCTAAAAGAGTTTTTCCAACATTTTCTTCTAGAATTCCAGGGTTTCTTGTCTTAGATTTAAGTCTGTTATCCATCTTGAGTTAATTTTTGTCAGTGGTGAGGGATATGGATCCTGTTTCAATCTTCTATATATGGCTATCCAATTTTTCCAACACCACTTATCATTCTTTTCTCCAGTGTATATTGCTGTCTACTTTGTCAAAGATCAGATAGCAATATGTGGATGGTTTTATATCTGGGTTCTCTGTTCCGTTCCATTGGTCTATGTCTCTATTTTTGTGCCAGTACCATGCTGTTTTGGTCACTACGAGGAATGCTACTTTAGATAATGTGTTCAGAGAAAATTCCTTCTGAGAATATGACATTCAAGCTAAAGCCTGAAGGAAATAATCATGAGAAACAAATCACAGGAAGAATGTTCTAAGAAAAGGAAATAAAGAATATGTGACAAGTGGTATATTAGTCAGGACAGGATAGATTATATTGCAATAACAAATAAACCTTGAAATCTCAGTGGCTTAGCAATAGCAATTTATTTTGCTTATATGAAGTCCAGTGTGGATCACACAGACCCCCTCCATCTTGGAATTAGAGCATCTGAAACACGTGGCACCAAAGATTATCATAGCAATGAGAAAGAGGGCTGGAAGACCATATAAGATGTCCTTAAGGGCCAAGGCAGGAAGTGACTTACATCATTTTTCTGCTTATTTCCACTAGCCAAAGCCCAGTCACATGACACCAACACACCTGCAAGAAAGGCAATAAAATGAGGGAGGAGCACATGACTATTTGGTGAGCACTAACAGACTCTACTACAGTTTGAAATGGCCTTATCCCCTTAATCTCTTCTTCCCACATATAGATCACACCCAATTCCTTCTCAAGGGACACAATCCAAAATCCACTCCAACACAAAGCCCAGCATTCCTGAGCAGTGCATGGCCTTCACCTTCAGGTCCAAATGTGGATCTCCTCAGTCTGACAACCTATAAACTAAAAAAACAAATTATCTGTCTACCCACACTTACACCTACACCATATAAAATGCTGGATCAGGAATAAAGTAACAGCAACAAATATTCTTTGGAAAGGACCAGCAGCCATTGGTCCACGGCAATGCTGAAATGCCATTAGGCCCATATTGTGAAGTTCTCACTCTGTGCCTAGTGGGGAGTCCTAGCAGAGACCCTAATTCCGCTCTCTGAGATGAATGCCTTTGCCCTTTGTTCTCTGTGACCCCCAAATCCATCCCCTTGGAGTGTTCTCCTTAGCCATAATTTCCCTTTGCCATCTCTGAAATTGGTGTTTAGGAACTTACCTTTGAAGCCTACCTTCCTTCATGGAATTGGAGCACCAAAGATTGTTTTACAGCTCAGATAGAGACTTTGTTGGCCTAGAATTAATGGTTGCTTTTGCAATATGGAAACTTCAGAGACTTAAGAGGCTTTTTAGTAGGCTCCTAATCCATAGTAGCCTCCTAAATATTTGCTTCCAGGCAGTTCCATCCACAACTCACCAAACCCAGTGTTCCTTCCTACACTTACTCGTCAAATTATTTTTATGCTTCCTTGTACGGTGTTCACTGGGTCTCTCACTCTCTCAATTTCTCGCTCTCTCTCTCTTTCTCTCTTTCTCATAGCAACTACCTGACCAAAATATTCACAGTGGAAAGAAAGTATATAAATGTGATATCTATTTTTGGAGGTAGGGACACAATTAGAAGGACTTGCTACTGCCATTTACTGAAAGGGAGAAGACAGGAGTGGGAGCAAGTAAAATAGGTTGGGGGCAAACTGACAAATCCAGGTGAATTTGACAAGTATACAGTTGGACATGTGAGTCTGCAGCTCAAAGGAAATTTGAAACAAGAGATAAAAATTTAGTACATTTAGTACTTCATCACATGTACTCACCATTAAATTGGAACTAATCAATCAACACTTACGTGCACACATGTAAATAACATTCATCGGAAATCAAGTAGGTGGGAGGGGGAGGAGCGTATGGGTAAATTGCTTTCAGCAAAATAAAAGTCCAATAGGTAAACAACAACTAATAGCCTTCAGGTGTATGTCTTAATGGAGAGGGACTTGATTTATCCCTCGACGAGGATGGCTGAAGAAGGGCACTGGGTCAGGAACTAGCTCTGATACCACGGACTGTACCCACTTATCTTCTCCCCTGTAATAGCCCTTCCCCTTCAGGGCACTTTTTTTTATTGTTTATAAAAAAATTTTTATTGTTTATAAAAAAACTCTTCTCCATTCCCACCACCACCACCATCTCAGATGCGAGGTCAAGCTCTATGAATTGGGGGAGGGGTAATCCAGATTTTCCTGCTTTTCTGTAGTATAACAAAAAAGGGTTTTTCTCAAATTCTTTAGGTTAGAAAGGGTCAGGATCTCTCTCTTCATCAGAGAGAAACCATTCATAAAATTAAGAACATGGATCTTTATGCCTGGAAGGAATTAGAAAAGACATTCTTTATTCTACATAGAAATCCCTCCTATTAAATCACTTAGCCCCAGCTTGAAAAATCAGTTGCAGAACGCCCTCTGTCTCTCTAGGAAGCCATTTCATGGTAAGGGAGATCAGCCTGTTAGAACATATTAATTTAAAGTTAAATTTGGAAATATCCACCACCGTCCTAGGCTCCCCACATGGTTCCATCCGGAAGAGAACAATCTGTTTAACCACATGACCACCCTGCTAATTCCTATAGATTATCTCACAGCTGAGGCCATCGACTCCAGAAGAGGAAAATCAACAACCTTAGAACCAAGCAAACAGGAGGGAGCAAGAGTTGAAACAGGGTGAAAAAGCAACCAAAGCAAGGCAGGGCCTAGGTTGACTCCAGGGTGAAATTGAGGTTCTGCATCCCAAAGACAGATCTAAGAGTCGAGGCCTTCACAGACAACACTCAGACTTCCAATGGCCCCCATTGTCCCCGTGTCAAAAGTAACCTCCCAAGTTATTGTAGATCTGCCTTGGGTAGGGAGCATTTTTTGACGACATTGGGTAGCATCCTCCTTTGAATCTTATTATAATATAAATGATCTCCCACAAACTCTGCAGCAAGTCAGCTCCATTATCTCGGGCGAGTCACTTTCCCTGGTGGCACATATGTAAGGGAGGTATTTGGCCTATAGAGGGACATGCGTTCATTATCTTTTAGTGCCACAAACCTTCACTGAAAACATGTTTTGTGCCTTGGGGGTTCAAAAATGAGAGACACTGTCCCTACTCTCAGGAATCTCACAGTCCAGTGCAGGCAGACACAGGCAAGCAGGCAGTTCAAAAGCAGGCTTGTGCTCGAGGGAGAGGGACAGGCAGGAGGGAGGGTTGGGCCCTGACGAGAGGTCTAGCGAAGCCAGGGAAGATGGCCTAGTACTGCTCCTCCCTCTCCATATCTGCAAACACCTCCTCAAAGCTTGCGACAGAACCCTCTGCAGGCCCTCCCAGCGCCTTCATCAGATGCTCAGTCAGTCACCAGCCAACGGACTGATGTTTCGCATGGATAAGCTTTTACATATGCGTCTGGTTCAGTGCCCATCCCTCTGCCCCCACTGCAGGTAGGCCAATAAAACTCTTGTTCAGATTCACACTGCACACAGTGTTCCGAGCTCCTGGATCTACCACCTCCTATTTCCCAAGGACCATGAGACTCCTGCTGCTGGCTCTTCCTATCCTTGCGCTCCTACCCCAAGTGATCCCAGGTAATGAGAATTCAGGGAAGCTGCAAAAATAGAGGTATAATGGGCTCTGGCTCATAGAAATTCCAATGTGTCACTGTACCCCCAACCTGGGCAGCTCCACAGCTCCCATATTGGGACTATGTCCCTGGCAGGGGTGGAATCTAAGGGTAGGACAGGTCATCCTTAACAGACAGGGGCAACTCCAACAGCCAGAGTTGTCCGTGGTTCTATAATTGAAGTTGCCACCTAAGGAACTGGGCGAAAGCTTGACTCGCTTCAGTTCCCTTTCCGGCTTGTGCCAGCTCTTCAAAATGATTCCCAAAGCCCACTTCCTGACATGTTCTTGGCCCTAAAAGTCCTGTTATAGCTGTAAATGAAGTTCTTTTTGTTTTCTAATATTCTAGAATTTGGTGAACAGGTCAGAAAATATCTGCAGTGGCCAGGCACAGTGACTCACACCTATAATCCTACACTTTGGGAAGCCAAGGTGGAAGGATTGCTTGAGTCCAGGAGTTTAAGACCAGACTGAGCAACATAGCGAGACCCCATCTCTACAAAAAATAAGAAAAATTAGCTGAGTGTTGAGCCCAGGAGTTTGAGGTTGCTGTGAGCTATGATGACACCACTGCACTCTAGCCTAGGCAACAGAGTGAGATCCTGTTTCAAAAAAAGAAAAAGAAAATATCTGCAGAGCTATTATGTGGAAGGGAAAATGGACTTTTCTTCTCCCTTCTACAATGAAAGCCTAAGCTTTTAATAATCACTGCTTTTTTAATTAGTATATCTGAAGTCATGAGCAGAATATTGAAATTGTTGCTAAAGAGGACCTGTTTTCCTCTTTATTGTATATCTTTCAAGATGCATTTTAATATATGATCAAACTCTCATAAAACTAAATATTTCCATTTTATAAAAAAAAAAAAATAAAGACACTAGATGCATAGTTATGCAGCGTTCTTCTTTCACCTAATGTTTTGTGGCTGCCTTTCCATGTCGCCATCTGAAGATCTATCTCATTCTTTGTAAAGTTGTATAGTTCTATTGTAGGATAAACCATAATTTATGTATAGTCATTTGGGATGTTTTCTAATTTTCTAACAACACACCAGTGAACATACTTGTACAACTATAATTACATATTTGGATGAGGATTTATATGGGCTAGATTCTTAGAAGTCAAATGACCAACTTAAAGATACATCTCAGATTATTTACTCCATTAATTCCTCCCTTATGTATCTTTCAGGACATTGCAGAAATTGCCAGCTTCCGGGCTTTTGAGTAATTCTCCAATTGTAATTCCAGACATAATCAGGAACAATTCTGTGTAATCTGCATGGAACCAATTGTGACTGCTTTGAGTTCTAGTGGAGATATGGAGACTAGGAAAGAGATAGATGTGAAAGATTTTGTAAAAGCAATCCATGGATCATAGAAACTTGGCACGTGGGGAGTGAAGGAAATATTGACATGTTCTGGGGTTTCAAGTCTGAGTTTTCTGGTAAGATTGGTTAATTGGAGGGAAGAATTGAGATGATGAAAGAAGCGTAAAGTCCTCACACTTTATCTTGGACAGTCCCTCCTACGTTTAAGGAAGAAAAATAAAAATCAGTGACATTTATAGGGACAGGGAGATAACCATACCCTCCCACCAGCAGTGCAAAGGGTTTTTCTATCAATGTAATCCCTCCAACACTCAGCATTATTTTTACCAGTCTGATGGGTGTAATCTCACAATGCTGTTTTAATCTGCATTTCTTTTATTATCCTGTGATCAAAATGTGTCAATGGCTTCCTTCCAGTGACTTGCAAAACTCTATGTGATCTCAGCCTCCATTATATTTTCTCTAATGACTCTCCACTTAACTTACTCTACACTCACCATAGCCCCCTTATTGTTTTTCAGAAACTTAAAGATAGATCCTGCCTCTGAGCCTTTGCACTTGCTGCTTCCTCTGCCTGGTACGTTCTTCCTGCAGTTAGTCTCATAGTTCACCCTTTCCCTTCCTTCCCAATGAGGTCTTTACTTGCCTTTTGATCACACACTTTCTATCCCACTTTCCTGTGTCATTTCTCTCCATTTACTTTCTTCTCTTGCTTACTATCTTGTTTATTGTCTCCTGAAAAGACTGAAATCTTCATAAGAGCAGAAAGTTTGGTCTACTTTTTTAATGAATGTAATCTCCTGCATCTTGACCAGTGCCTGGTATATAACAGGCACTCAGCAAACATTTCTTGAATGAATAAACAAGTGACCGTTAATTGCCTGTTTATATCCTTTGCCCATTGTTCTGTTGTTCTGCTGAGCAACTGTGAGTTCTTGTTGATATGCAGGAGTTTTTTATCTATTTTTTATATTGTTCCCTAGTCAGCTGGGTATGTACCTCCCAATCTGTCATCTGCCTGTCTATGAACTTTGCCCATTCATTAAACTTTGACCTTCATTAAAAAAAATACATAATTTTGGTAATCAAAGTCAACAATTTTTTGCCTTGTGCATTGTGCTTGGTGGTTTTGTTAAAGAAGTCCTTCCCCATTCTTATGTCCCAAAGGGTTCTCTGACACTATCTTCTAATAAATTTTTAGTTTTGCTTTTCACATTTAGGCCTTCAGGTCACCAGATGGAATGCATACATCCCCCTTTTTTTTTTTTTTTTGAGACAGAGTCTCACTCTGTTGCCTGGGCTAGAGTGCTGTGGCTTCAGCCTAGCTCACAGCAACCTCAA